AGCTCAGCATAGCAGCAAAGATTTTGTAGAGGATTTTTGGGTGCTGCACGCCCGAAAACACTACACTTCACGTCCGGTTTCAACTATCTTTGATCTCATCAAGAAAAATAGTAGGTGGTGGACCCGAGGTTCTTAGGATATCAGCGCAAACCACTACTCCTTTGGCAACTGTGTCACAATAAGTAACGCTTAGTACACTTTTTAATGACTGCTTGGGTCATCTTAGAAGTACACGTTGTGTTAATTTACTGCAGCGCATCACTGAGATCCGTCTTGAGTCGTGAGTACCAGTCTATAGCCCGTGACGATCCGCAGCGTCGGGACCCAATCACAGCAGCGAGAACAACCGACTGAAACCAAATACTTCATCAACTTTGCAATGTTGCTTCTCCAAGTTGCAAGTTGTTGATGGTATCACATCCTCCAGCCTTGTTCATCAATCGCAAACAATGTATGACACGAGAGACACTACATAGGCATTCGCAATACGTGTCAAAACCTATGCACTGAATACAGCGGGAAGTGTGCATCGAGTTGGTTGCTGCATTACACACAACTCTTTGTCTAATTTCCACACTACTTACGTAGAGCAGTCACCACCCACGTGCAGTGAACCTCAAAAGATAATGCTGAAGGACGTACGGTCAGGGTAGGTCAACTGTGTGAACAGGCCAAGACAAGCATCTGGAAAATAGCACAGCAAACCCAGTCGTACAACAAACCCTCTCCTTGATGTAACGCTGGTGATCATGCCTACACCAGATGCTCTCTTATGTGCCAAGATCGCTTTGCATCTATATGGCTCCAAACAGCGTCGCCGGATAAGACCTGACGTGGTTAAAATTTTTACCCCGAGCTTTCGCAATTTGCTTCAGAATGCTTTGATCTCAAACTTAAACAGCAACACATGCTCCGACGTTGAAACGCAATGGGCACACGTCTGCAGCGCCCTGAATCATTCTGCGACCCTGGTCTGTCGTTTTACCAGTATTTCAGTCAACCACTGGATCTCTGCACGACCTCTCTAATTTCATGAATCTCACCGGGCAATTCCAGCCGACGTTGATTATCATTCACTACCCAGGACCACTAAGGTTGAACTCAAACAGCTGCACCGGGAGTATCGCGGAGCCTGATGGACGCAACGGGTAATTGATTTGGAGCAAGCGGCCAGATTTAGGGAATTTCCGAAATCTTTTTCCGGTGCTCCGATCCCCTAGCAACAGGAGACTGCTTGTAAGCAAGGTTTTATGCGAAACGGTGTGGAGCAAAATGCATTGTGTTGCGTGGGTCGGAGCGTATCATGTTGCCCAGGCCTAAACAGGAGAACAATTATGGTTCTCAACCAAAGCATTTGGTTCAAAAACGTGAGCTCTGTAATCACTCACAGACTGACCGACGCTCTCGGAAGCCATATTTGTGAAGAGCTAGTCGGGTTTCCTCGAGGTCGTGGCTGCATTAACCACATCTTCACTGCGTCAACCGTTGGAGCACAGTCACACATATCGGCGGCTCACCGTAGTCGTGCTCTTCTACATTAAAGCTGTCTTCCATTTTGTTGATCAGTATGCTCTTTGATATTATCTACTCAGGAAAGGAGTGCCTGCGAAATATGTAAACATTTTTCGTGCATTATACACACAGAGCACGGGCGGAGTGAGAGCTTACGGCAAGCTGTCGCTACCTTTCAATATCTCCAGCGATGTGAGTTAAGGATGCCCATTGTCACGTAGCCACTTCAAGTTCGCTATTGATGAAATCTTGTCGACTGCGTTTACATGACACGACTTAGAAGGTACGGAGCTACTCCCAGGAAAACGACTTCTTGACTTGGAGTATGCAGATGATATTGCACTTGTCTGTGACAGCTCCCAGATGTGCCAAGCGGTACTGGACAGATTAGCATTGGATGTCAACTGCTTCGAGCTTCACTTTGCACCATAGAAGTGCAAAGCATTCCTCCAAGATTGGTAGGGATCACCTATTGCGCCTACCCTTGTTGGGGATCAGCTAGAATTCGTACAGAAAAGCAACTACCTGGGAAGTTCTATCAGCACCCTTGTGATCGAAGCTGAGATCAAGTACCGCATAGCAAAAGCTCAAATTGCTGTTGCTAGCTTTCACCACCTATAGCGGCGGCGCGGCATCACTCTCTCTCTCTCTCTGTCTGAAGCGTAGAGTGTACAATGCGGCGGTGCTTTGGATTATACTGTACGATTGTGAAACCTGGCCTCTATGATCAGCCGACACAGAGAGTCTGGTTACGTCCCACCATCGGTGCTTCCGCAGTTTGGCTCACATCTGGTGGGAACACCATGTGAACATCGAGCGTGTTCGACGCCTTGTTTACGGCACAGGAAAATAAGGAAATGAACCCCTCAGCACCGTTATTTCACGTACCAGGCTCCGATGGCTCGGCCACGTGTTACGCATGCCAGATCACCGGCTTCTGCGATGTGCGTTGTTATCTTGCCGGGGGAGTGGATGAAAGTGAAAGAGAGGTGGCCAAGCGATGACTAGGTCGAGAGGAATGAAGACCCTCACTTCAGAGCTGGCCTCAATTGGAGCGTCTCGACTCCCTTTTTGGGGTCCAAAAGACGATGAACATGTTTGACTAGATACACTTGTTGTCGTTGTTGTTGTTGTTGTTGTTGTTGTTGTTGTTGTTGTTGTTGTTGTTGTTGTTGTTGTTGTTACTAGGAGCCGACGTCAGTGGCGCTGGTGCTGCTTGTTTCTTTGTCCCACCCCATCCCATTTAGCCTCCTCTCCAACCACGATGTCAGTTCATAGCTTACAACAATGATGCCCATCCGTTGTTGGGAGCTAAGCTGACATATAGATGCTACCTTTTTCTTTTCGCGTTTTCGTTTATGTATTGCGGCGCAGTAGCTGCGGTGTTTTACACCTCTGGCTAACGTGTATACTGAGAAATGATGCTGATTTTGCGAGACAAATAGCCAGCCAATCCGCCGTCAAAAACGCCGAGAGTTTTGGTCGACAGTTTAACTAGCTAGAAGTATCGATGTGTCCGCCATGAGGAACCGAGCGTGTTCCTTGGTGTGTTGATGCTTCATTACTATCTGTGGCTGAGATTACGCATTAGCTATGTTTTCTAAACCGCT